GTTTTCTTCATGGGAAAATAAGACATCCCCTGAAAATAAGACCTAGCGCATCTTTGGAAGCAATAATTAATATAAGACACTGTCTTATTTTCGGGGAAACAGGGTAGCAGCCGAAGGCAGGGGCCCACACTGGTGTGATGAACTTGGCACAGTTTGTTCTCGCGTTGGATGAGGGTTATTTGTGGACCTGAAATTGTCAGAAATGCCCACACAGCAGCCACCTACTTTCATAACTTCCCTCCTGGCACAAGCACTCTCTGCAGAACCTACACGACTAATTATCCCCTGAAAGCATGCAGGTATGTTTTTGGAGAGCCTCTTCCTGCAGGTTAGGCTAGATCAGTGGTGGGCAAACTTGGGCTCCTGAGCTGCGGTTTGCCGCTCTGTTGACGAATGAGTTTGCCGACTACTGCCTTAGGGAAAAACACTTTAAAAAATTTTAATAATGTACTAATGTCTTCAACCTGAAGTCAGAACTTCTGGGTAAGGGTAATGCCTTACAACTGAGTGCACACCAAGATGTGAGCATTTGGGACTACTACTGATGAAGGATTTTCCAATAGGATTTAGAAACTAGATTCCTTCAACACATCTTCATTGAGTGCCCAATATGCTGTCACTCTGCTTAGTCTGATTAAATGTTTCAGTGTTTTTAATATTAAACAACAAAGAAACCATGCAAAATATTCAGCCATTTAACAAATATTTGAGAACCTGCTTTGTGCCAGACTGGACCTTGGAGATGCAAAGTCTAAGTAGGAAGGTGGGCCTGGCCAGCATCCTTCAGTGGCTGAGCCTCGACCTGTGAACCAGGAGGTCAGGGTTTGATTCCAGGTCCAGGCACATGCCAGGGTTGCGGGCTCAATCCCCAGTGTGGGATGTGCAAGAGGCTCCCATCAGTGATTCTCTTACATCATTGATGTTTCAGTCTCTCCTCCTCTCTTCCTTTCTGAAATCAATACAAATATATTTTAAAATAAAGGAAGGTGGGGAGGGGGGCGGGGGGAACCACAATGCCTATGGTAAGAGTGTGTTTCATCCTGTAGAAGAGCCATTTAAGATTTTTAAGAATATGTTGATAAGATTTTAGAAATTCTAGCTGAAACCGGTTTGGCTCAATGGATAGAGCGTCGGCTTGGGGACTGAAGGGTCCCGGGTTCGATTCCTGTCAAGGGCATGTACCTTGGTTGTGGGAACATCCCCAGTAGGGGTGTGCAAGAGGCAACTGATCAATGACTCTCTCTCATTGATGTTTCTAACTCTGTATCTCTCTCCCTCTCTGTACAAAATCAATAAAATATATTTTTTAAAAAAAGATTTTAGAAATTCTGAAGCATGGTGGGTTTCTGACTGGAAGCTGGGATACTAGTTAGACGACTGTTAAAATAGCCCAGACAGCGGAAACCAGTTTGGGTCAGTGGATAGAGCGTCGGTCTGCAGACTGAAAGGTCCCAGGTTTGATTCTGGTCAAGGGCATGTACCTTGGTTGCGGGCACATCCCCAGTAGGGGGTGTGCAAAAGGCAGCTGATCGATGATTCTCTCTCATCAATGTTTCTAACTCTCTATCCCTCTCTCTTCCTCTCTGTAAAAAAATCAATAAAACATATTTAAAAAAAAAATAGTCCAGACAGGGGATGAGAGAGCCTAAACTCATTTAGTGATGATTGTGAAGGAAGGATCAGAAACTAATACACAAGATGAGGGAAAATAGAGCGATTACATAGTAAGGTCAGTAAAGCTAAATGTGAAGATTAAAGAGAAAGAGAGGACTACAAAGGTGGCTTAATAACTACAGTTAGAAATGCATTTGGCTGCAAGTAAAAAGAAAAAACAAACTCACAAAACTCTATTGCAAAGGCTTAAACAAATAAGGGTCTATTTGGTCATATAACCAGTCGTAGGCAAGCAGTTACTCTTTTTGATTCAACAGCTTAAGAACAACAGAGCCACAATGTCTATGATTCTCTTGACATTTCCCTCATGGCTGCAAGATGGTTGTAGCAGTTTTAGCGTTCACACTGGAAGATGGAAAAAGGAATGGCTTCAGCACCTGTTTTTGTTTTTGTTTTTTCAGGAAAATAAAAATATTTTTAAAATTAATTTTAACTAGTGTTAGATATAATCTGCCACAAGCTAGTGGCCATGCCCCAGCCCTGAAGTGCATGGAGAGGGGGAGAATGAAGACCCTCCTGGGAGAGTCCTCAGGAGGGAGCCCGGTTCAAGGACTATTCAGTGAATAGGGTGAGGGACCTAGTGGCTCCCGTGTAGCCGAACCGGGCTGCTAGGCGGTACGGTTGAAAGGGTTGGTAAGTAGATCACCAGGAACAGGAGTGCTGAAAGCTGTCAAGGGCAAAACAGAATGGTCTGCCCTGTAGATTCCAACTGTCCTCTTTTTTTCTTTTAATATTTTTTAATTGATTTCAGAGAGGAAGGAAGAGAGAGAGAGAAACACCAGTGGTGAAAGAGAACCATTGATTGGCTGCCTCCTGCACACACACACACACACACACACACACACTAGGAAGTGAGCCAGAAACCCAAGCATGTGCCCTTGATAGAAATCGAATCCGGGACCCTTCAATCCACAGGCCCACGCGCTATCTACTGAGCCAAACTGGCTAGGACTCCAACTGACCTCTTAGGTAAGGAGGTTTTGTGCTGTGTTAGTGTGTGGGGGTATCTGAGGTTAGATGGAGGCTGCTATTTTGGTGGTAAGGCCCAGTCAGTGAACTGTGTGTTCTCTGCTCAGAATTCCAAACGGGTATTATCACCATCATTTCTATTTTAAGATGAGGACCTGAGGTTCAGGGAGGTTAAGCCATCTGCCCATCTACATGAAGTTCCAGTCCTACTGGTTGGAAGGGGAGTGGGCTGAGATCTTTAAATTCTCAGGCCCAGGGCCTTATCTAGTGCTCCGGTGATCAGTTCACCCTTGTTTTGACAATTTGACGGTCTGTGTCTCTCGTTAAAGACCGATTTTGACTTCCCTCAGTTCACGCACTTATGTCACATTGAAATGTTAGACCCAAGTGTAGACAGTCTCTGTTTTCACACCTTGAGCCTCATCTTTACCATGCCAGTCAAGTAATAAACACACCAAGAATGCTCAGCCTCACTGGCGGTCCTTCATTCATTCATTCATTCACTCCACAGATATTTGAATCCCTACAATGGGACCAGTACAACTGTAGCTCTGAGGGGTCAGGGAAGAAAACCAAAATTATAATTCCTAGGGAGCCTATATTTTGCAATGAGATGCCACTTATAACTATCACATGGGGGGTGCGATAAGTCTGACAACGCCTAGGGCTAATGAGGAAGTGGGGTGGCATTCATAATGTGCTGCAGCTGATGTGAGTGGGGTCCTGCCAGTCAGAACTAGTGCTGAGGGTTTGGAGCCCCACTGTTCCACTCATGCCCCTTCATTTGCTGAACCCTGGGATATCCAGGGAGGAACTGGGGGCCATTCTTTAGCAACTCCATGGTGTGCCATACTGGTGCATATTGCCTGAATGTTGTGACTAGCTGGAGGGGACAAGATGACTACCACATTTTCTTTCTGGGTTTCAGAAATGGAAGTTGGTATTTTCCGTGTTCCGTGGTGCTCAGTGAATATCCGGCTTCTTCGTATCTCAGTCCCCATTGCCCACTACACTAATCCACAAAGCCATATTCCCTCTGTGTGATCATCAGGCACAGTTCCAGCACTATAATGGTTGTGGGGAAAATGAAAACGAGACTCAAACTGAACCTAAACAGGCTGAGAACTTGAGTGAAAAAAAAACAAGACTTACACTTAGAAGGCAACAGCCATGACATAAGTGACCAGTATCTCTGCTGCTAATATTGACATGGAAACTGACTACATTCCTGCAGAAACAAGAGCTTTATCTTCTGTTGCCCAGAAGAGGGAGCTACATGATAAGAGCTCTTGAAAGGAGGTTGTGTGTGGAAATGCACCTCAAAGAAACTATGCATTTGGGAAAGAGAAAATGCGAGCGGAAGAGGGCAAAGGACCCCATGTAATACAGTTCTGGGAAGCTTTCAAAGCAAAAATAACTGTGTTCATGTGACCTGGTTTATGGTAAAGCCATGCCAGAAGACATGGCGCAGCCCCATGGGAACTGAAGCAAAGTCAACACCTCCAGCTTTAGCCCAGAGATGAGAAAGATATTGATAATGATTCTCTGGGTAAGGTATCTTGAGTCTGTTATACAACTGGTTTAAGGGAATGTACTATTCTGTTGTTATGTCATAGGAAACCAATTTCTGAGTTCCAGCTACAAAGAACAGCTAAATATTGCAAGGGCATGATATTCAGCTTAGACCATTGATATCTCTCTTGATTTGAACTAATAAAGCTGTGATACCATCAACCACATTAAGGAAGTGTCACATTATAAAGCCTTTGGAATAGGTTGTAAAACAGTCAATAAACTGAATTGCATATGATTGTGTGAACCTGACACACTTTTCTCCCTTTCCCCAAGTGGCCACATCATTAATAACACCACCAATAGGGTTGGGTCCCTGGCATATACTTCTACCATGTATCCTGTCTTAGAATCTCTAGGGACCTTTAGATAAGGAGAACATGATGGTGGAGTTGAGGATGGAAGAAACAGATGAGGGCATCTCCATGAACAGTTGTCAGGAGTTACCTTACATGTTGGACTCGATTTCCAAACCTATGCCTGACTCTTCCTAAGTAAGTACATGCTTTTTCACTATTACAGAACCCCAGATTACCCCTCACCACCCCCCAAAAAACTCAACCCATCCTGCCAGGGTTTATGAGCACAGGCTTCTGTGAGCATACTTTGCACGGTTGGATGAAAAAATAAAAAATGGAAAAAAAATGTGGATGTATACTAGCATTTATGTTAAAAAACAAACAACAACAACAAAATTTACTTAAGATTCATAATTTAACCTTATGTACCTTTTAAATTTGAAAAACATGCAAGAATTGTTCAGAAATAAAATATTAATAAATACATTTGAAAAATAAATAATGAGCTTTTATTATCTTCAACAACAGACCAGAGTGGAGCCTGAAGTGGGAACTCAGCAGCCTCGTGTGGAGGTGCAGCCCCCGGAGGCGTGTCCTCAGAGGCTGTCGTCTGGACACCCCGGCTTTCTGGGCATCGCGGGCCACAGTGCCCGGCAGGAGGGGGACTGGCAGGGCCTGTCCTGCAAAGTCAGCACCGTCCAGCCTGGGCACCTGGAAGAGTCTCTCTCGGGGGTCACAGCTTCCCGGGAAGGTGGGTGAGAGGTCACTCGTGTGTGTGACACCAGATGTGGTCCTGGGCGTCCCCTCTCCGCCTCCAGCCCTCTGTTCTCGGCCACAGCGTGTGATTCTGAGCCGAGAACACGGACAGGCCGGGCGGCTGTCAGTCTGAGTCCGAGCTCTCACTTGACTTGGAAGACTTATGCTTCCGTTTCTTCTTTCTTTTCTTCTCTTTCTTCTTCTTCTTATGCTTTTCTTTCTTCTTCCTCTTCCTGTGCCTCTCCCTACATTCCGAGGAGCTGGAGCTGCTCCCATCGTCATCTGAGGTGGAATCCTCCAGCAGCTGCTTTAACTGCTGTATCCTAACCAGAGAAGACCAGTCAAAGAACCAGAAACCATAACAACATCCAAGAATTGTTTTAAATATAAGATTAGATGTGAGGATAAAAAAGTGACCAATAATCACCTCCTTCTGCACAGTACTTACTTTTATTTTTGCATGTTTCCCATTCCTGTCCACATCCACGCCTATTCTACAGGGCTGTTTACATCCACGCCTATTGGCCAGTGTACAGTCGCTCTGTATCCTTTTCATTGTCCTAAACATTTCCCCATTTTTCCTTTTAAATTTTTATTATTATTTTTTGGTAGTACGTTTATTAAAGCTGGGGACAGTGAAACAGGAAGGGCCTAGGATAGAAGTAACAGGAGAGCCTAAGCAGGGCTGCTTTCACTCACTAAGAAGTCAGAAAAGGGGGCTTTGGGGACCCCTTCATCGGGTTAGCCAGGGATGCGCCGTCACTCCCCACCGCTCCCCTGGTCGCAAGTCTTGAGGGGTCCCTTAGAGTTCAGGAGAAATAAAATTCACTTAAAAAGGAGATTTGAGTGCACATCCCCCAAGGAGGTGTGCCTGCGTATTTCTATAGTTCCTCCTATTACAACCCTAACACATACCGCCTTTCCTAAATCATCCCCCCAATGCTCAAGTTCATACTGGCTAATCTACCCTCTCAGCAATTAGAACTCAAGACCACAGATTTGAAAAAAATAAAAATCTCCTGTTTATTCACTGTCATTATTCACGTTTAACAATAGCTCAGATCCCTGAAGACACTGGAGAAGATAAACTAAATCTTATGAAAGAGAACCCATCAGACAGTAGAACCACACACCACGAGGAGGACTACATCAACCATTCATGGTTTCAGCAGACTGGGCCACGCCCACTGCATTACGCTAACCCAACGGAGCAGGCTACCTGCTCGTTGCTGGAACCGGGCCTTTTCAGTGACTGCTCCTGACCTCCAAGCACTGCGCAATTAAAGCACCACCTTTGTTACACTACTCCTCTAACAGGAATAGTTGTTTCCAACTCAACACAATGTAAAACTTTAAGAGGGTCTTGTCGCCGGGACCGGTTTGGCTCAATGGATAGAGCGTCGGCTTGGGGACTGAAGGGTCCCGGGTTCGATTCCGGTTGCGGGCATATCCCCAATGGGGGATGTGCAGGAGGCAGCTGATCGATGACTCTCCTTCATCGATGTTTCTAGCTCTCTATCTCTCTCCCTTCCTCTCTGTACAAAATCAATAAAATATATTAAAAAAAAAAAAAAAAAAAGAGGGTCTTGTTATCATCAGGACAACCTCACCTTATATCCTTCTCATGTCTTTTATTCTCTCGGATGATGTCATACATGGGATCTTCATGTGCCTTGAGGGTCAGAGAAGGTTAACGTTGTTGTAAGACTTCGTAAAACATTAAATAAATATTAAATCTCTATGCTACTAAAACCAGTTACTTTTTTCCAGTTTGGTAGTTTTTTAAGATGTTCTAATTCTTCCTGAGGGTCACCATCACTGACTGCTAACTCACTGATGCTGTGAAAAGGATTTTCCACTTAGAAAAACAGGATTGAAAATAAAATAATTTTTTTAAAAGAAAAATAAAAAATATAGGATTGAAAAAATATATATAGGATATAATTTAAATATCTTTTATAAGTATTTGATAAATAAACTCTGGCAGAATCACAAACTACTATATGAGGTAGAAATATTGAGGTAATTCTCTTTGGTCTATGTGTATAGACGACTAAGAGATAGGGTGTTTTTTTTTTAAAGTGAATTATAAGAGATGATATATTTTCATGCACCGAGCCTCTAGTTTCTAATAAACGTAAATTCACATGTTGGGGTTCTACTTACTACTCTGAACTGCTCTAACTTTTGGTTGCCTTTGATAAAGAAAGGACATTCCTTGTCGCCCGTTCGGTGACCGTACCGTTTACAGCGCCAACCTGAAAGCAAAGAAAAAAGGAAATATTTCTGTAAGATAACAGTTTCACTTAATGAAGATGATCAGTGGATCGCATTAAGGTTTTTCTTCATTAGACTCCAATCTAAAAGCATATGCAATCAGTGGGTGAATCATGAGGAGTCTAGAAAATTGGCGACACGTGAGATTGCTGGAAATGCACAGTAGTCGGCCAACTCCAAAAATACACATACTTGAATTTCAAAGGACTTATTGGTGATTTGTAGACATATGAAAGTTTAAAATCCACTGTTTTAGGTAACACTACAACCAATAAGAAAAGAATGAAAGTATGTATAGTGTATATGTCTGGAACAAGTTCAAGTTCTGTGGGGTCTGGATGGAGTGGGTGCTTCAGGAAAAAAAAAATCATGCTTTGGCAAATTTTACAAAAGCCTATGACCATATCAGCATATCAATGGGATCCCTGCAGGCCCCTGAAAGGCACAACTGAGGTTCCCTGAAGCTTAAACTTCAATTACTTCTTGGCAGAACTGGCTCTGGTCCCAACCCAAACACACTTAATGCAAATAACTATAAAGTGGTAAGTGAAATGCAACTAACAACCTCATCAAACAGAGTAGTAATTTTCAAACTTAAAAAAATTCAAAAAAAGCCGAAACCGGTTTGGCTCAGTGGTAGAGCGTCGGTCTGCGAACTGAAAGGTCCCAGGTTTGATTCCGGTCAGGGGCATGTACATTGGTTGCGGGCACATCCCTGGTAGGGGGTGTGCAAGAGGCAGCTGGTTGATGTTTCTCTCTCATCGACGTTTCTAGCTCTCTGTCCCTCTCTCCTCCTCTCTGTAAAAAATCAATAAAATATATTTTTTTTAAAATTCAAAAAAAGAAAAGACTCTGGGCCCTGGCAGGATAGCTCAGTCGGTTAGAGAACCGTCCTAAGACGCTCAGGTTGCAGATTCAATATCTGGTCAGAGCACATACAAGAAGCAACCAATGAATGCGTAAATAAGTGGAACAATAAAATCAATGTTTCTCTCTCTCAAATCAATTAAAAAAAAAAAACACAAAAAACCGTACACTTCTGGGCACAGCTGACAGACTGAACACATTCATCCGCTTTCATTCCCTTCCTAAAAAGTCATCCAAATGACAATGAAGGAAATTCTTTTCAGAAGTGAGAACCCAGGAAGTATGTCAGGAATGGCCAGTTGACAATCTCTATACATTTGTTCTTCCATAAAAGCACTGACAGGAGTTGCAAATTTGCCCAAATCAATTCCTGTGCAACCCTGGGAATTAACCAGAGGCCGGCCAAGACCTGAGGAGCACTAATTCAACAAAGAGCATGGGCCTTGGCAAAGAACAGCAGGATTTCTGGCATTTTAACCGGACTGTCTCCCCACTTCTGTAAGTCTTGGAAGCAAGCAGCAGCCTTGCACACACTGAAGTGGGAAGCCTGGGATTTTGAAACTCTTATAAAGCCCTAACCTCAGTTGAAAATCCACATGTATCTTCTGATTCCCCCAAAACTTAAAATTGCCTACTGTTGCCCTAGCTGGTTTGGCTCAGTGGATAGAGCATCAGCTGGTAGACTGAAGGGTCTCAGGTTTGATTCCAGCCAAGGGCACATGCCCAGGGTTGCCAGCTCAATCCCCAGTAGGGGGCATGCAGAAGGCAGCCAATTAATGATTCCCTCTCATCATTGATGTTTCTATCTCTCTCTTCCTCTCCCTTCCTCTCTGAAACCAATAAAAATATATTAAAAACAAAAAAACCTACTGTTCACTGGGAGCCTTACTGATAATACAAATTTTGTATGCTATATGTATTATGTACAGAATTCTTACAATAAAGTAAGCTAGAGAAAAAAACACGTTAAGAAAATCATAAGAGAAAATACATTTATAATACTTATGGGGGGGAAAAATCTGTAAGTGGACCTATGTAGTTCAGACTATAATGGGGTTCCACTTACTACTCTGAACTGTTCTAAACTGTTTTGTTTTACTTTGTTAATCCTCACCTGAGGATATTTTTCCATTGATTTTTAGATGAGTGTGCTCTCCTGGCTGCAGGCAGCTGTGTCCTCACGCAGTGGGGAGGGAGAACAAGCTCTCTGGTTTTGCTTCTTTTAAAAGCAACTAAGGCCAGCTCTGGCGTTGACTACTGACCCATGAACCAAGAGGTCACTGGTTCGATTCCTGATGCGGGCACATACCTGGGTTGTGGGATTGACCCCCAGGAGGGAGTGTGTGGGAGGCAGCCCACTGATGTTTCTTCTCCCTTCTTCTCTCTCTAAAATCAATTAATATATATATATAAAAACCTTTGGCTGAAGAGTCCCAGGTTCAATTCTGGTCAAGGGCACATGCTCCTGTTGTGGGCTCAAAACCCCCCCGCCCCAATAGGGGGCGTACAAGAGGCAGCCAATCAATGATTTTTTCTCATCATTGATGTTTCTATCTATCTCTCGCCCTCTCCCTTTCTCTCTAAAATCAATAAAAATATATATATTTTTAAATTAAAAAAAAATAAAAAATAATAATATATATATAAAAAACCAAACAGCAAATTGCTGGACATAATCCAAAATGGCAAAACAATAATACTGAATGAATAAACTTCAGAATATTAAAAATAAATAAGAAGGCAGTGCCACCATTTCTTCAAATGCCGCCTTGCGCTGGATGAAGGTGCTGCTGCCCTGGTGGGGAGGGGGGTGTGCACCCCACCCTCTGTGCCTGTAGCTCCTCAGGCCACCTGGAGCAGCCTTACCACCGACGGACGGAGGGGCCTAACAGATCCAAGACCCAGAGGGACCTGCCCCCGGCGTTTCCACCACGGAAGGTGCTTCCTGTTGCAGGAATACACCTGCGCGTGTCCTCCTGAGGCACACTTCCCGTGGGAGGCCACCGCACGTGGAGTCAGAGCCTGGAGCACCTCTCTGCTCCGCCTCGTACCAGGACCACTTACTGACCGTGTGAGCCCATCTACAGGGCAGAGATCACGCCGGGACTCTGCCAGCGCTGAGGAGGGCACGTTAGATGGAAGGAGAACGCCTGTGAGCCGCGGTGTGCACCCTGGTGCACTCGGAGCACCGGACGCGCTTGCACTCACACTGCATCACTTTGACCTCCTTGCCCAGGGGCATCCAGAGCCCTCTGGTTGGCGCATGAGCCAGGAATTCCCTGGCGTGCTCGTTGCCTGGCACATCTGGTATACAGTCCTCCGGCTTCGTCTCATCTTCCTGAAAAGGGAAACAGCGGGTAAACAATATGGCCAGAGAGCACCGAGCCCGCCCCACCTGCCTCAGAACGCAGCACGGCCTGGCTTTCTCAGCGGGGAGCTCCGAGGTCATCAGGAGTCACCTCCCAAGGTCAGAGACACAACGACCTGACAGGAAAGGTGGAGATGAATGTGCCGAAGAACCACATCGCAGAAACCAAGTGGCTGTTCTTGGATGGAAATCTGTCCTTCCCACAGCAGTGATCTGCAAACTCGAAATTCTAATGTATGTTAGATTCCAAGATTAAAAAAAAAAAAAAAAGGTTTCACCTCGCCCTGGCTGGGTAGCTCAGTTGTTAGAGAGTCGTCCTGATATGCCAAAGTTACAGGTTCAATCCCCAGTCAAGGCACATACAAGAATCAACCACTGAATAGGTGAAACAACAAATTGATGTATCTTTTCCCCACCTCTAAAATCAACAATTTTTTTTTAAAGGGAAAACACTGTGTGGAATGAGCACAGCATAAGAATTAAACAGGGCTACCTGGAATAATAAAATGGCATGTTGCTTGTTAACCTTGCCTTGTTCTCTAGTCACACACATGTTCTATCTCTGATATGCATTTCACTGCTGAATAACTGCAGTCATACTTAAGAAGCTTCCTCCAACCCTGTTTCCAAGAATATTAAATTTATAGTAAAATTTTCTCAAAATCCTTTTTTATTTCTATTTTTAAAACTTATTTTTATTGTTTTTATTGTACAGATACCCCCTGTTTCTCTCCATTTTTAAAATATATATATTTTTTTCTGATTTCAGAGAGGAAGGAAGAAGGAGAGAGAGATAGAAACACCAATGATGAGAGAGAATCATGGATTGGCTGCCTCCTGCACACCCCTACTGGGGATCAAGCCCGCAAGCTGGGCCTGTGCCCTGATTGGGAATCGAACCCATGACCTCCTGGTTCAGAGGCTGAGCCATGCTGCCAGGTTTACATCTTTTTTTTTTAATTCGAAGTTTAAGTCTTTGAACAGAAATGGTTGCTTTGGCTTTTAACCACTCCTCTAAGCCTCACTCCCCCAGAGAAACAGACACTGGCCAGGGGCGGGAGGAGGGCTCCTGCAGGGGACTGGGGCTGGGGGAGCTCCAGGTCTCCCCGGAGTCTCACATTCTCTGAGCTGATGACATTCGAGGAACCAGTGTCAGCACCAGGCAGCAGGGCTTGGAGAGAGAGAAGGGGCGTGATGGCTGGGGGACAGGCAGGGGCACAGACACCGCTGAGTAAACGGCCAGGAAGCACAGCTGTGACACAGCCCGGTGTCTGCCTGGCACCTGCGGGAAGGAAGGTGACCCCAGAGGAGGCTGAGCCCTGAGGGACTCCTGTCTGAGAGAAGAGCCGAGAGGACACTGACCTTGATGAGCCCCGGAGGAGGTTTCTCATAACTGGAAAGAGAAAGAAAAGACCGTCACCAACCACGTTAACCGGAACACAGCGAGCCAAAAGCAGCTGTGGGCCAAACTAAAAGGGCGTTTTTAATAAAAACTAGAAGTACGTTACGTCTAAAGCAGTTAATAGAACATGCCCAGCGCTCGAGATCACATATACACACACTGATGTTCTCCCACATCCTGCGGAGAGGCAGAACCAAATTCACCGAAACTAACTCACCTGCCGTCTTAGCACAATGACTTTCTTTTTGGAAGAAGGGAACGCGAGAGACTACAGGGAAAACGTGTGGTAAGAAAGCTCCTGAGTTAATTAGGGTGCCAAACTGTCATTGTCGTCGTCAGCTGCTCACCCAGCATCACTGCCCCTACCCAACAACCCAACGCCGAGGAGGCTCCAGGAGGGGGCCGAGTGATCTGCTGGCCATAAAAACTTCCGCTTTGAATTCCGATTCTTTCTCACTGCTCTGTACTTTGGGCAAATTACTTAATCCCCCGAGCCTCAGTTTCCTCCTGTGTAAACCGTCACAGCACACAGTGAAAGCCACGCCGCCAAGCTGGCGTCCGCCGCTTCTGTGGAAGACAAGAGGATGTTCTCAGCGGCCTCGACAGGCAGCTCAAGACTTATCACTAGCATCGCCAAGGCCACGATCCGCACCAAACAGCAAACAGCCCGCTGGATGGCACACACCCAAAGCCAGAGCTCTCCCGGTGCACAGAGGACCTGCCCCAAGATACTACCCAGCCAGCCGCTGGGCGTGACTAGGCCGAGCGGCTGAGGTGTGGTCCAGTGCTTTCCAGAGCAAATGCTTACACTCTTTTCTAGCACAAAGGGGTGGCGTGTCCCAGCCGGAACTTACTCGGCAACAGCACTGGGACCTGCACACATTGGGGCAGGGGTCCTCAAACTTTTTAAAGTGGGGGCCAGATCACGGTCCCTCAGAGAGCTGGAGGGCCGGACTGTATGAACTACTAATTCCTACTGTAACACCTCGGCTGCGCTCACTGCCCAAAAAACCTGGCGGGCCGGATCAGACTCCTCTGCGGGCCGCATGTGGCCCGCGGGCCGTAGTTTGAAGATGCCTGCATTGGGGCGATGATACAGTTCACCCGCAGCCATTCACGAGAACCAGGAACGGTTCGCCGTGGGCATAGACACCGAGGGAGCCTGTAGCAGACTATAGACCCGACAGCACGTCCTTTGAGCCACAGGAGTTGCACAAACAACAACATATGGCCCATCAAACTGAAATCCAAACTCCCGGGAAAAGTCTGTAACCGTTGCTGCCAAACGGAAAGGAAGTGTGAGGGAAGCACACGGTGAAATCTGCCCCCAGCAAGGGCGTGGCCTCAAAAGTCCCCTTCCCGGCTGTTTTCTCAGTTTCAAGGACGGTCGTGGATGGTGTTTCCTTACGGCTAAACAATCGGTGATTTTAACACTAAAAAATAAAAGTTTTTAAAGTCACATTTAACTACGAAACAGACCAGATTTGGAAATGGGACCATGTTAACGTATGGCTGGCTTCTGCCCTCAGACAGTCAAGAATCTATGTGTCTTTGCCGTTAATTCTTAATATTAAAAGAAGTTGGTGGAGGCCCAACCTTTTGTGCCATCTGAGAAGCCAGCTGAGAACTCATTCAGACTGGAACAACTTGCTCTGTGCAGTCAGAAGACGAATCTTCCCCATGGTGCATGGGGTGAGGAATCGTTAATTTGACAGACATGGAGTGCCACACAGAGCACCCCGAGGGGCCAGGACTGTGGGTGCCCGCAAAGCAAGGCCCCCATCCTGCAACCAGCGTCCTACTGAGGTGACATTCAGCTCAAGGGCCACTCTGAGGACATGTTACACATATTATGCAGCCCTAACTGGTTTGGCTCAGTGGAGAGAGTGTCAGCCTATGGATTGAAGGGTCCCAGGTTCGATTCCGGTCAAGGGCATGTACCTTGGTTACAGGCACATCTCCAGTGGGAGGTGTGCAGAAGGCAGCTGATCGATGTTTCTCTCTCATTGATGTTTCTGACACCCTGTCCCTCTCCCTTCCTCTCTGTAAAATAAATAAATAAATAAATAAATAAATAATTTTTTTTTTAAATGAAAACTAATTACAGAATGGCAGGATGGCAGGAAAGAGCTGGAAGATCATTCATCCAACCTCCTACCGGATGTTTCTCCTTTCCCTCTCTCCCTCCTCCCGGTGGTTCCCTGGGCTCCCAGGAACACTCCTCCGTGCGGCCAGCCTCACCTGCAGGGATGTGAGTCTCGTCCCAATTCCCTCTGTGCAGCTGGAAGCGGCCTCTCTGACCTCCACCCCAACCCCCAATCCCAGTAAAAGTCCTCAGGCCTGGAGAGCGGGTCTGCACTGTCCCCCACTGACAGCCCCTTCTCATCGGGGACAAGCCCCCGCCCATGGTTACTCTCCTCCCACCGGCTCCAGGATGTGTCTTTCCTTCCGTTAGCAGCGGACAGGTTTGCTGAAGTAACTGTGGTGATAGAATGTATTAGCCTCAGAAGCTACTGAGGTGGTTCATTCTATCCTAGCACAGTGTAACTGCCAATTACTGCTAATAATGACTCTAAACATTGTACTAATGTTATTTGATTTTTGGCATTATGTGGTAATAGGACAGTATCACAAAAGTTGGGGGCTGGGAAAATTAGCCTAAAATAAGTGCAGGTATTGGAAATCTTGTTACAAAAAAAACACAGCTCTTTAACTGTAAAAAAAAAACAACAAACGAACGGACGGACGGACGCACGGAAAGATGGGACCAGGTTCCTAGTGGCCCTCTGACCCGAACCTCGCAAAAGAAAAGAAACTCAAGCGCACTGCCCGCGTATAAATTCATTCATTCATTCATTCATTCATTCATTCATTCATTCATTATTCATTCATTCATTCAGCCCCAGGTGCGGAGTGCGCGCACGCAGAGCCCCAGCCCAGCTCCCACGGCGGCACCCCGCCCCCGCCCTCCCTTCCCGCACCCCCGGAGCCGGGCGGGGCGCGCTCCCTCCGGCCCAGCGGCCCGGGCGCCGGCACCGACCCCCCCCGCCCCCGCCCGGGACGGGAACGGGCGGCAGCCGGGCCTCCGAGCGCCCGCCCCGGCCCCGGCGCCCTCCCGCGCCCGGCGGCGGCGGACTCACAAGGACTCCAGGTGCTGGAGCTGCTGCCTCTGCTGCGCGTCGTGGCGCCGCCGCCTCTGCTCCCGGCGGCGCCGCAGCTCCTGCTCCGGCGGCTCCCGCGCCCGCCGCGCGCCCCCGGCCCCCGGCTCGCCGCGCCCCGGCCGGGACCCCGACATCCGGGACCCCGACATCGCAGCCCGCGCGGCTCCGGCGGCGGCGAAGGCGGCACTTCCTCCGCGCCCGCCCGCCGCCCGCCGCCCGCCCGGCCCGCAGCGCCCCCTCCCGCCGCCGCCCCGAGGCCGCGGCTGAGCCCGGTGTCCCCGCCGAGGCCGCCCGTCCCGCCTCCCTGCGACTCGGAGCGCAGCAGCCGGCCGGTGGGTGCCGGAGGCCGGAGCGCGCCCCCTGGCGGCGTCTGAAGGCTGAGGGTGGCGGCGGTTGGGAGCCCTTCCCTGCCTCTCCCCCCCTTACCCTCCCCCCACCTCTTAGAATGTGCGATCCCTGGTTAAAAGGGTGTATATTGACTTTAGACAAAGCTTTGGGAGCTGAAAATGAAAACCTAGTACATATTAAGTGCTTTTATGCACTGGTCATTGAGCCAAGCCCTTAAGAAGATATGATTTAATCTTTACAAACTTAACTTCTGTTATTACCTTCGTGTATTACACTAATTTTGTAGACTGGAGGGGATCCAGGAAGTCAAGTGACATGCGCAAGGATGCAGAACTAGTAAATGGTGGAGCCAGAACGCAAAAGTGTTAGGTGCTTACCTAGATTGTACTTTAAAGGTGTTATCTGGCTGAAACCGGTTTGGCTCAGTGAATAGAGCATCAGCCTGTGGACTGAAAGGTCCCAGGTTTAATTCTGGTCAAGGGCATGTACATTGGTTGCAGGCACATCCCCGGTGGGGTATGTGCAGGAGGCAACTGATTGATATTCCTCTCCCATCGATGTTTCTGACTCTATCCCTCTCCCTTCCTCTCTGTAAAAAATCAATAAAATATATTTTTTAAAAGTGTTATCTGATACAGGAAGTTATAGTGACTTTCATGTAATGAGATCAACTACAAAGGATGACAGGCAAATTCGTGAAGAATTCCATATTTAAAAAAATAGTATAGAGGATATTTCCCTCAAACATGGCATTTAACATAATCAATACCTAGGGAGCTCTTTCACAGTTATCACAGGAAGTCCAAGTAAACACACAAAAGACTGTGAACAGACATACAGTGTTACACGGATGCGTCCCAGAACCTGGAAATCAGGTTTCCCTTTGAGAGAGAAGAATCAGTGTACGGACCAATCCTGGGCCAATAGTTCCTCCTCTCCTGGGAAGACTTTGGTGCCCGTCAAGATGTGCCCCTAAAGTACAGGAAACAAAAAGGCGATACCAAACATTATAGCAAGCAAACAAGCAGTCAACTTTAGCGTATACTTCTATGCAAACCCCGTGAAGCTGTTCTTCTCACACTTGCAATTGAAAGAATTTTGATCAATAAAATAATCTAGTATCACACTTTAAAAAAAAAAGTCTTGATTGATGCAAATATTTGCTTAACTCAATGATTTGATCTCTCAGGAAGACTCAGGGATTGATAGTTCCATTTTAGCAAGCATTAATCGACTCTTTTGAAAACAACATACCAAAACCCAAAAAAACCTGCTTGTTTTTAAGGAATTTATTTTCTCACATATATGTGATGTCATGGGGCAGAACTTCAGGAATGGCCTGATCCAGGTGCTGAAATGTTACGAGCCAGCCATTTCTCTTTCTCTCAGCTAGATTTTCACACAGGTCCTCCCACTGTCGGGGCAAAGGTGGCCAGCAGCTTAGCAGCCCCTGGGAGAAGCCGTTCTCAGTTCCAGTAGGACTTCCATGTAGTATGCGCCTGGGCTTAGCAAGGGTCATGTAGCTGCTATGGAAACAATCTCTGTGGTCAGAGAGAAGCAGTACTCTGACTGGCCTAGCCTGTGTCACATGCCCACCGTAATTCCCAGGGGTGAAATCAGCTTTACCCAGGCCACACACACTAACAGTACTCATAGGGTGAATTATAGGAATAGGTTTTCGATTTCCATTGACTAAGCTCTAAGTGGAACAGTGAACATTTCACTGTGCCACATGAAGTTTCTCTTTAGACCCTGGGATCTCATAAGATCGATAATAATCTTAATAATCTTGTAATCATCATGTTTTATCTTCATTTTGCAAAGGATACTATGAACTTGCTAAAGGTCGCTTAGATAGTCCACATGTTACATGCATTATTCTTTTGATAACGTGTTGATTTCCATTTGCTCACATTTTATTTAGTATTTTTGCATATGTGTGTATAAATTAGATTGGTGCCCAGTTTCTCTCTCTCGTTCTCTCTCTCTCTCTCTCTCTCTCTCTCTCTCTCTCTCTCTCTCTCTCTCTCTCTCTTTCTCTCTCTGCCAAATTTTGATATCAGAATCGCTTGCTTCTGTGAACCCTGAGAAAGAAAATAGCTTCCTAGTAGGGTTCCCACTGGCTAACTGAGCTCACATTTTTAAAAACGGGGCCTTTTTTCCCCAGAGGCCTCTCATGCAAAGTGAACTTGAGGGAGAAGCTGGAAGGAACCGCTTGCCTGCTCTGTGTTCCTGCCATCTGAGTCAGGCCACCCGGCGGAGCAGGGCAGGCTGGCTATGGAGAGGGGCCTACCGGAGGACTACCCGGCCAGGGGACGTGGCTCACGGCTGTGCTGCTTCATAACTGAGCTGTGACACCCGAGGGCTGTGCCCAGGGCCACTCTGTACCCAATTGAGCTGTTTGCACTGAGTAAAGTCTCTTCTTTTTCACGGCACTTGCTTCACATTGGGAATGGCTATGGCTATTCGCTTTGAATTGGTGCTCACAACCACTGGTTTACACTTCCAAGATGAATCGGAAACTGGTGATTTGCTCTCATTGGCGCCAGGTTCTAATGAGGACAATCGACTCTAAGTTCAATGCATTTAACGACTGCGATGAATCTCCCCTCCGCCCCCCAATATAGTTTGTGGATTTTTTTACAGAGAGGAAGGGAGAGGGATAGAACGTTTGAAATACCCACGAGAGAGAAACATCGCTCAGCTGCCTCCTGCACACCCCCTACTGGGGATGTGCCCGCAACCAAGTACGGTACATGCCCTTGACTGGAATTGAACCTGGGACCCTTCAGTCCGCAGGCTGACGCTCTATCCACTGAGCCAAACCGATTAGGGCCGATGAGTTTCTCGCCACGTCTGGGTATTGCTATGACAGCTCGCCACACACCTTGATGGCCTGCGGGACAGTCACCATTGGCACCTTAACACTTTCACCTGTGCAACTGTCCAGGGGGGTCTGCCAACGCACGCCTCCCCTCTCTCTAATCCTGCAGACGGGGGATGTCCAGTCTTTTTCAGGGGAGACTCCATCCTTGTAACTAGGGTGTTTTTTTTGTTTTTGTTTTTGTTTGTTTGTGTGTGTGTGTGTGTGTGTGTGTGTGTGTGTGTGTATGTGTGTGTGTATTTAATCTGTTTCCTTCTCCAAGGCAGAACGGAGTAATTGGACCCGCGGCCACGTAGGAGCCTCAGTGGTTCTAAATCCGGAGTCTCCGGGGACAGGCGGAGACTAGCGGGTCTGCTGGGGCATGAAATGCTCTTCTCTCTGGCTCTGGCCCGCAGCCCAGTCCCGAGGAGCACGCCGTCCTCCCCCCGGGACGGTCCTCCCCCGGGGACGGTCCTCCCTCCGGGGCGGTCCTCCCCTCGGGACGGTCCTCCCCCCGGGACGTTCCTCCCCCCGGGACGGTCCTCTCCCCGGGGACGGTCCTCCTCCCGGGACGGTCCTCCCCCCCGGGACGGTCCTCCCCCCGGGGACGGTCCTCTTCCCGGGACGGTCCTCCCCCCGGGACATTCCTCCCCCCGGGGACGGTCCTCCCCCCGGACGTTCCTTCCCCCGGGACGTTCCTCCCCCCGGGACGGTCCTTCCCCCCGGGACGGTCCTCCCCCCGGGACGTTCCTCCCCCCGGGACGGTCCTCCCCCCGGGACGGTCCTCTCCCCGGGGACTGTCCTCTCCCCGGACGGTCCTCTTCCCAGGACGGTCCTTTCCCCCGGGACGGTCCTCCCCCCGGGACGGTCCTCTCCCCGGGGACTGTCCTTTCCCCGGACGGTCCTCTTCCCAGGACGGTCCTCTCCCCGGCCCGCTGGCTGCAGGGCGGGGCGGGGCAGGGCAGGGCCGGGCCGCCTGGGCGGCGGCACAGGGAGCAGCGGGCCCGCCCCATGTGGCCGCAGCTCCGCCCCGCGCTCGGATGTGGCCGGGGGCGGGGGCCGGGGCCGGGGAGGGAGGACCCGGGCCAGGGGGCGGGGGCCGGGCCCGGGAGGGAGGGCCGGCATTCATTTCCACGTTTGCAAACGCCGCTGCTCCCAGGCCCGCCACGCGCGCCGCCCGAGCTCCGCGCGCCCCCGCCGCCGTCTCCGCGCCCGACCCCCGCTCCTGCCCGCACGGCCCCCGATGGCGCTCGGGGCCAGGGGCCGGCGCCCGCCGCCGCCGCCGCTGCTCCTGCTGCTGCTCTGGGTGACCGGGCAGGCGGCGCCCGTGGCCGGCCTGGGCCTGGGCTCCGACCCGGAGCTGCAGATCGAGCGGCGCTCCGTGCCCGACGAGTGCCCGCGCACCGTGCGCAGCGGCGACTTCGTGCGCTACCACTACGTGGGCACCTTCCCCGACGGCCACAAGTTCGACTCCAGGTACCGCGCCCGCGCCCCGCGCCCCGCGGGCGGTCCCGCTTCCCTCTCTCCGGACAGGCCTTTCGCTCCCGGCGGACCTCCCCCAGCCCCGCCCCGCTCACCCTGCGCTCCTCCCTCTCCCTCCTCCTGCCCCGAAGCTCCCCGACCCTCGGCCCGCCTGGCTCCCCCGGCCCTCGGGTTCCCCAGGTCTTCTCGTCCGGGCCGGAATCTTCGACGTGACCTTGCGCTGCAGAGCGGGGACTAGTCACGCCTCCTCCCCCATTCCCCCCGCCCTCGCCCAGCTCATTGACACGCGCGAAACCCTTGTGAGAGCGGCGCTCCGCGGGTGGACCCGCCCCCGGGGTCCCTGTGGCTGTGCGTCTTTCCCCCCCTCCCCCCTTCCTGAGCCTTCCCGCAGGCCCCTCGCCGGGATAGCGGGCCTGAGGGCGTGGAGATGGCACAGCGTGCAGGGCAGTGCTGAGTGCTCTCCATAGAATG